TAAGAGATTTATTTGAAAGATAAGACAGTATTAGAATTAGTAATGTTGAGTACAAAAAAATTTTAAAAGACTTGAAGCAAGAATAGAATAGAATAATTAAAAAGCATATATAAGAGTAATAATAATCTTTATCTTCTATCTATATATACTTACAAATAAACAAACAATTAAAAAGTTTTTTAAAAACTACAAGAAATGTAAGCCAAGTATCTAATTTGCTCAATATTCTTGTAATAACTTCTTAGATATAGAAATCTTCTATAAAAAGTTATATTTATTACATAAAACATCCAAAAATATTAAAATCTAATATAAATTTTAAAAACATCTTCAATTTTTTTCAAGAATATATTATTTATATTTTGAAGATAGAATTATTTATCAATTTTATTTTTAAAATATTTAATATATCATAATTTTAAAAAAAATCATATTTGAACCATTATTTGAGAAAATATATTTTAAAATTCTACCTAAATCAATAAAAATATATACTTTTATCTTTTAGAATAAAATTTTGTATGTTTCTTTTATAAAATAAATGAATAAACAAATAAAATTATATTTTTATATTTTTTTAAAGAAATAAGAATACTTTGAAATATAATTAAAAAAAAAAAAAAAAAAAAAAAAAAACCATTTAAAAACTACTAAAGAGATATAGTAACAAAATATTAAAGTATAGTCAAAGCATTTGTGTAACAAGGTTTAGATAAGATATTTATATTGTTGATACATAAGGATAGATAGTTAGAACCATGGAAGTTTCTAGAATTGGGGTTAAGTTAGTAGACCAAGTAAGATTGACTATGGAACATTCCAAAAGGAATTTAAGGTGGTTATCGAAGTAGGATCCATCATCTAAGAACATTCTAGAAAGTCTAGGGTGGTAGAACAAAGTATAAATAAGACTAGCTAAGGTCTTTTGAGGCATTTGGTTAGGTATGGCTTTAGACCCTTTCTCTTAATACAATTGGATTTTGTATCTTCTTGTTTTGTTCTGTTCTATTCTAATTCCGGTTGCTCAATTTTGTCTTCTATTTTCTGTTCTGTTTAGTTTTGGTCAATTTTATTTTGGTCTAGTTTGTCCTACCTTGTAATGAGGTTTTATGTCACTAAGGATTAAAAGAGTCTTATATACCTAAAATAGATTGGTCCTATTTCAATTTGTAAGTCAAATAAAATAATATGTGAAACTTAAATTATCCATATTTAGTTAGGAATAGATTTTTTTTTGACTTATGCTCATATTAGATTTCTTATAGTATAGATCTTAAATTAACTTAATTAGAATATAAAAGTAGAATATAAAAGTAAAAGATATCAATTTTCTAACATTTATTATATTAAGTTTTCAAAAGATCTATACACATTTAGAAGAAACTATCTTTTAATTCTATAAAAAAGATAGGTAGATTTTTAAGTAACTTTAAATTTATACTTAATATTTTAGTGATGTTTCTACTAATATATTAGTATAAAGAAGCTAGTTCTTTTTACAATAAATTGTGATTTTTTAAAATTATTATTGAATTTATACTTGTAAATTAATTATGCGTTCATAAATTAAGTTTAGTAGTAATTATTAAAAAAATATATTATAAAATTATCTTAAAAGTCCTCATATTATTATAGAGTTTTTTAAAAGTTTTATTTAAATAGAATTTAAGTATCAAATTAGTAACATACAAATTTCTTTTTTTAGCAACTTGATCAAATACTTTTATTTTAAAATATAAAATTTTAAATTTTCTAAATACATGATATAATTATCATATTAATTTTTTTCGATGAATAAATAATTCAAAAATAAAAACATCTACTTTAGTTATATCATTGTTTTTTAAAATTTATAATTAAAAAAAACATAATAATCAATTGAAACATTTATTAATGTCAAATACTACAATGTTTTATGAGTATATAATTACTTCTAGTACTAAGAGTATATATGATTTTTTTTAAGAATATAATATATATATATATATATATATATATATAAAGAGTTGTTAAAGCCTTACTCTAATGTTACTAAAGTCACACCTCACAATACTATCTCATGATTGATTCTATCCATCCCTATCTCCATCTCTTGTTTTATGTTCCCTATCCCCCATTTCATATCCATATCCCTTGTCTCATGTCTCTCAAAATTAATCATCACATGATTTGGAGGGTGTGGTTTTAATAACATTTCACTGTGGCTTTAACAACTTTGGTTTTAACAACATTTTAGTGTGGCTTTAACCACTCTCTCTATATATATGTGTGTCTATGTGTGTGTATATATATATATATATATATATATATAGTATTATATAAAAAATATCCTATAATTCTTTAAAAAAATATTTATGAAGAAAAAATGAGATATTTAAAATTTAATAATATAAACTAAACATTTTTAGATCTTAGAAAAATTTATACTATACGATAAGATGATGATTTAGATAAAGAATACATAACCTTTGTAAGATAATTTGAGTATGAATGCAATGCTATAATATTTAGTATAGTTATATTAACTTGTTATTTTTAATGATTATCTCTTCTTTATAACTTTATTTTTATCTTATAATAGCACCATTTTTTTAGTCATTTTTTAAAAATAAAAAATAAAAAATAGATTCTATGTTATATATAAAAAAATAAAAAAAAACTTTGTATTGAATATTTTTTTTTTATATTGGATGGATTAAAATTTTGTTAGATATACATCGAAATTGTTTCATATTGATGTTTGCTTGCTCTGAGTAATACTCCTATTAAATGGAATTGATTTACTAAATGCTGTTTTAAAAAATTCAACTTAAAATGTTGGTATTGAATAATTGTATGATTGAAAATTAGTATTAGATTATATTTGGTTGATAATCATATAAAATTAAAATCTATTTTTTTATCAAATTATACGAAAAAAGATAGTTCTTTAATACAAACCATAAAGTAATTTTCATATATGCCATAGAAAGAATGACCTAAGTTATTATGGTTGCTGAAGAAATTCTTGCCATCTTTATAACTTGTCACTTTGAATATTGATTGTGGTGGCAAAAGAAGTTGATGAATTATAAGAGTTAGTTCTTTTATTTGTTCTTACATTTATTTCCTATAATTTTTTTTTTTTTTTTTTTTTTTTTATTCTCATTTTTTTGGCTGAACAAATAATTCTAATAAATCCCACATTAAAAACAATATCAATAGATATAAAACTAGAATTTTTTTGAATTTAGATAGAAATTTAAAAACATTTATTTTATTAAATATCAACTTGTATCTACCTGTTTGAAAATACTTTGGTTTACTTTGGTAGTGTAAGTATCAATACCTAATTTTTCTTTTCTGTTCTTTTTTCTTCTATCTGACTTTTATTTATTTATTTAATGTAAAAATCACAAGTTTATTTTTCTTTTATATACTTCAATTTTAATCCTAAATATTATTCTTTGTATTCAAAAAAAAAAGTTTGATATATTATTTCTTGTATATTAAAATTTTAGCATTCATGCATATATTTTATCATCTAAAATATTTATTTCATACCTTATATTATAAAATCTATATCCTTCTCCTTTATCTTATATTTTTTTATTTAAAATTACAATTCAATAATTATCATTCTAATATAATTATTATCTGATTTAAAATTTTAATATTCTAAGTAATATTTTAATATTTGAACCTATAATTTTAAATCCTAAACTTGTACATTATTTTACTAAATTTATATCTTCTATTTTAAAATTTAAAAAATAATATTAATATATTATATGTAGATCAAATCACATTAAAATATCACATTTGATTATGGTATTACATTAGGAGATTTCAAACACGGTCTTTTTTGGATAATATTTCACCAATGATGCAAGCTTAAAGTATCTTGTGATATTTTGAAATATCACTTGATACTTCACCAAATCGCCCACCTTGTGAAGTGAGTGATTTTGAAATTGAAATATCAAAAGAGAAGAGGATCAAATATCAAAAACCGCGTTGCTTGCCTCAACTCTCTTCTCTCTTAGACTCCATACAAAGGAGATAATAAAGTTTGAATCATGGAGTAATATCAAGGGGTAGTATTATTTGAACAATGATATTTTAGATTTGATATTTTGAGTGATCCGAGAAATATCAAATGCTAAATCTTAGTTATTTGGTTTTGCAAAAGTGCCATATTTGAAACCTACTATTAGATGTGTGTGGTAATTAGACTACCACATCATATTTTAGTGTCATATATGGATTATATTACATTGAAGATTTAATTGGATGTAATAATAGATATATTAATTATTTGTATATTTAGTATATATATATATATATATATATAATTTGGTAGATATGAGTGGAATTATATTATATACCAACTAAAAGAATATATGTTGGACATAGACAACAAAAGCAATTAAACAATACAAATATATTTTAATAGATATTTAATTTAACTATTATATTTAATATTTTTTAATGTTAAGATAAGTAA